AAACAATATGATGAGCATATCAGCAAATTTAACTTCTACTTTAAGAGTGTTCATGAAAGCATATTACATTGGCATGTTGGACCAGATCTATTATTCCTTTACTGACCATTTGTAACCACTACTTTCTGCTCCATCTGCCTTGCTATATCTTTTCTCTGTGCTGCCTTATGAACACTGAAAACACCATTCAGAACATGCTACTCACTCATTTGCTCAAATGGCATGCATTAAGTCTGCCATTCAGAGAAAAAAAGTTCTGACATGTAGCTCCACCCACCAGGATTCTCTCACTTCTAAATGTATAACTGTTTGCATTTACCCTTCTACACTATGCTCACAGCAAACAGGAGCATGGACCTCACTCAGTATTTCAATCACAACCCTTTCGAGCACATCTCCACCTCATAGACCATACAGCTTCATTTTATCAGCAATAACCTTTTAAATGTCTGCATGTACTCCTTCTCCATTCTGTTAAAACTCTATAATTTTATTGGTACTTTTATATATAAATTAGAAATTTTATTTCTCTACATATCCTTCTTGTTCTCTTATGTTAGTTTAGTTTTTACAGATTTTGCCTTCATATCTTTAAGTAGTATATTACATATGAATTTGTGGGCTTTTGTCATCTGTTAAACTACAGGCTACCTAGGGTGCAATTTTAGACTATGTAGCATGTTGTGGGGTACCATAGTATGCAATGTAATTTAAGTGTTCAGTAAGTACTTTTTGATACAATTGATGCTAAAATATTCCTTTACAACTTGCTAAATAATTACATTATGCTCCTATCCTAAGATGAGTCGTAGCCTTCCTTTTTTCATAGGTTTTTTGTTTGCTTGTTCCTAGTGTCATTTATGCTTTATTTTAATCTCTTTTGGCACTGACTTCTTTTGTGAGAAGAAGATTGCAGCTGTAGATATTAGATATCTCTACCTGCTTGTGCAAGCTTTATGTACAATTGGATGTGCAACTAAATTTTTCCTATGAAATTTCAAAAAGCCATGGCACTTTTTCTATGGTAATATTATTACTGTTCTTGAATTGTAAATTATTATTCAAACTCATATAGTAGTTTAACATGAGCTTTTCTCTCATGTTATAATGGAAATTTTATAAGATCAAGACATGTCTAATTCCTTTAGACATGAAGTTCTTTAGAATTGTTAGCTTTTTGAATCACAGAATGACACTACTCAAAAAGTGTTTATTGAACACAGAATTTTATAGATAAATTATAAATACTTACCATGGAGGTATAACATGATTTTTGTACTCACAATTACAGAAACTAGAATAACAAATCACTATTACATAGAGAACCAATGAGCAAATAAATACATATACTATGGAGATAAGAAAATGTAAATATTTCTACATAACCAGGTTAATGAAGTCACAGCAACTTTTCTGTCTCCCCTTGTTAATCAATATTCCAAAGAAGTTGTACTCAAATGTGGATAGTTTCTTCTATGGTTAGGCCAGCCAATTAAGATGACTGTTTGTAAAAAGCTAAAGAGGCCTCAATTTTCCAAAAATTAAGGAATGGTAGGAGAGGAGAAAGTCTTCCCTAAGGAAGAGTACACCAATTGGTTTTCCCATAACAATGGTCAGTTCTAAAAACTTAGAAATCCAAGTAAGACTATACAGACTGAGCAGGTTTATATTTAGGTATGAGTGCATGTGTGTGTGTGTGTGTGTGTGTAATAATCAAGCAAGAAACAAGAACAACAAAAGACCATGAATCTAATAGGAAGGTTTGGGTGGAAGAAAGAATGGAGGAAAGTAGTTATCTTATAATCTCAAAAGCTAAAAGCAGTTTTAAAAATATTATGGTATATGTACACATGGAATTTTATTGAGCCATAATGAATTGTATAATTACATAATTTGAGGTGCAATAGAATGAACTAGAGATGACAATATCAATATTAATTAAATAAAGAAAATTCAAAAAATAAATAAATATATTGACCTAGTAGCCTGTTTTCTTTAACCAACAGCATTATTCAGCTACATTTTCGTTTTTTTAATGGCAAAAAAGATGGCACATTGGGAAGGATTGTGCTAGGTAGTAAGAGAGCAGCCGAAGAACAGTACAGTTCAACAGAATAATGTTTAACTCAATACAATGGTTGGTAAGAGATGCTCACAGATGATTCAACAAAGGAAGAAACAGCCTCTATCCAGTTGAAGAATTGTAGGCATACTGCCAGATTGCGATAACGATTTGGAAAAGATACTACAGGACAGAGAGACATTTGATGGCCTTTTACAAGTAAGGCAATAATCACACCACAACTTTCAAGTTGTCTACTGCTATAACCAAACTTTTACAAAGACAGTCTGCTTAGAAGAGAAAGAATAAGCAGAATCCTGTCTACAGTTCCTTTTAGTATTATAGGTCATAGTATATTTGTTAAGGAAGGAGCCTGGAGTGCCTACAGGCCCTGTGTCACTTTGAGATGGTGTTATAGAACTCACATTACTATATTCTCCTAAAAAAGGCCACATATACAATATGGCCTCCACTGGAAATATTCTTTCCCAAAGAGATTATCTTGAGACCATGGCAACTTGGAGTCCTGTGAGAAGTTAGTCACTTTTGATAAACAGCTTGACAATGCTACTCCTTCACCCTTTCTGAACCTGTTCACCTTAACAGAACCCTGGTGGGTAAATGACCCCAAATTTTAATTTACTACCCTGAGAAATAGCTTAGTATCGCACCCTGAGAAATATGATCCACTGAAGCCCCAAGAAGCAGCCAGGCAGCTCTGGCAAGAACCACCTCCTACAGGGGCCCATTCAGAAACCACCTAGAATATTAGCAAATAGCTAGGCAGCACAAATACTTGATTAAGGAACCAACAAAAATAAAACCATAGGGAAGTACGAATGTAATACATGTTCACTCTTTCAGAGTCTACTATTATGCTCGTTTCTAACAAAATCACCCACTAAGCTATGTCTGCAGTGTATATAAATAGAGCTCTGTTGACACTATCTTGTATCTGTGACTCTTCTAATACACTTTGAAACCCCCACACACATACTAATCAGTTTCAAGAGCATTAGAAGCTCATAGCCAACTCGAAGTAAGTTGCTATAACTCACTACACTAGTGGCAATGTCCAGGCTGGACTTTTATGTCACTGTGATTAAAAAAAAAAAAAAAAAAAGGTGCATAGCAACATAAAGAAAAAACAATGTATTTGCACTCATGGTTGCAGTGAGAAAAAAAAAAAAAAAAAAAGGTGCATAGCAACATAAAGAAAAAACAATGTATTTGCACTCATGGTTGCAGTGAGTTCAATTCATAGTCAATTTACTCCCCATGCTGGAGCTGAACACTGTGGACACAACTTCTGTTTTGGCCAGAAAGACAAACTCAAGACAAGGCCAAGAACAATATTCTCCTTAGAATCTAATTAAAGTAAATGGCCTCTTTGCCTAGGCTTGTCATGTATGACCTCCCCAAATTGGACTTCCATCTGCAGATAACACATTCAAAAGATGAGAACAATAGAGGCATTTCATATTCAATCCATATGATACATCAATTAAAAGTGATTACATTGAAATAAAGAGGAACATGGTTTGTTTGTGCATGTCCGGAGTCTAGCTCTTTTTGACCAACAAACCATGTGCACTTTGGAGGGATAGGTTTCAAAACACTTTTATCTCTAAATCTAATTTTATTCTTCACATCTTCTTTGATAAAGAAAGAATAGCTATTTGCATTCTCTTGCAATAAATGAAGATATTAAGAGGATCAATAAGCTGGAATTAGCTTTATAATTGCTCTATCTATTGCCATTTCAATGACACATAACACCTAGAATAGTTGCTGTTGACCTCTAAATTGTTGTGATTCATTAGAAACTTAGAACCATTCTTTTTGTCAAGGACTGTTTTTCCATACTATACCTTAATGAATGAAAAAAAGTTCTCCTGAGTAATTTAATAAGTTCTCTCCAATCTACAAATTTCATTACCCCACGTATTCATTGAGTTACTTCTGTTTTGCATGGATGGTATAGCTGATGTTATATGGTCAAATATTCTCATTTTAATAGTTAAACTAAAATTAAATGATAACTACTATGGTATGAAAACTCATATTTTTTCCTTAAAAGAAAATGAGTATAATTTAGCCAATAGTCTCTTAAGTAGTATAATAGAGACTTATAAATTCAATGTTAATATATATTAATAAGTCTCCCAAAACTATTATTAATCTTCCTAACCTCAAAATTCTAATCATAACTTCAGATATACCTATTATTGTAGATAACCTAGAATAATCTATTTTAGACATTCTTCATTTAATTGATAGTTTTTAATTCCAAGGACACAGTCACTTAACTTTTATATTTTTGCGGTGCTTCATTCTGCTATCTAAAACTGACACATGCAATTGTTCAAATTATCATTCTTTTACATTTTATTTCCCATTTAATTAGTAAGCTCAAATAATGTTCACTTATTTAAAATATGGCTTATATATTTCCTTCTTTTTTTTAACCTGCATGTTTTTCAAAGAACTAGAATAAATATCAAAATTCATAAAATATATTGTATCAGTATAAAATAATATGAAAAATAATAATATTAGGTTAATATGAATCAAAATTAATACATCATTTCCCAACCCAACTTAATGTTGTAGCTCTATTCTATGACAACCTTCCATAATGTATACCTTCAAAATAAAAGTATCAGTATTTCTGGCATTATAATCTTTATAATCTTTGAAAAATATAGGTTAATAAGTAAAACACTGAAGTTCTTGCCTATTTTTTTCCATAGTGTACAAACACGTTGACCCCGCCCTGCTGCCCCGCCTCTCGCCTCTCCTGGGCGGGGCCTCCTCAGTATCCCACCTTGCAGGGCGGAGCTCCGGGTTGGTGTGCAGCTTGGTGCTGCGCCCCTGGGTTCAGAGCCTTAGGTCTTCGTTCTTCAGGCTGTCTTGCTGGGCGCACGCGGGCCTGCTCATGTACCGCGCGGCTGTGGCACGGGTGGGCACGGTGGCGAGCGCCAGTGTGTGTGCAGTGGTGGCGGGCGTGGTGCTGGCCGAGTACATATTCACCTTGAAGAGAAAGATGAGCCGCAAGACCAAGATCATCGAGATGATGCCGGAATTTCAGAAAAACTCAGTGCACATCAAGAATCCTACAAGAGTAGAAGAAATCATCTGTGGTCTCATTAAAGGAGGAGCTGCCAACCTTCAGATAATAACAGACTTTGATATGACACTAAATAGGTTGTCCTACAGTGGGAGAAGATACCCATCATGTCATAATATCATTGACAACTGTAAACTTGTTACAGACGAATGTCAAGAAAAGCTGCTGCAGCTGAAGAAGCAGTATAACGCCATTGAGGTTGCTCCCGACCTCACTGTGGAAGAGAAGTTCCCTTACATGGTAGAGTGGTATACTAAATCGCATGGTTTGCTTGTTGAACAAGGCATACCAAAAACCAAACTTAAAGAGATTGTGGCAG